CTTCCCTGTTGGTGTTTCATTTTTTCTAGTCAGTTTTGTAGTTCTCAGCCTCTTTGAAGCAAACCTAGCGAGCATGAGATCTCGGTGAGATTTTGTTGCATTATTTTCCCCTCTTCCTGGAATGAGAAGCTATTGTTTCCTCCTAGAGAAGTGTAATCAATGCAGTGCCTGAAGGCCAGGTCACTGTGTTTGACCCTTTGCTTTGGTCACTGACCCACATTTCATTCAAATGCATTGGTAAATAGTGGCACTTCTTATGTTGCTGAGATTTATGTAACAGACAGGGAAAGATTAGAATTGGAGATATCTCTTACTATTCTGGGCACCTGGGCTGCCAGCCAATTTTATTTCTTGAGAAGCAAGTGTGTGGTTCTGTGAGTATGAAGGTGTGACTCATTCTCCTCCTTGACATACTTTAAAACATGCACTGAGTGGTGATTTACATGAGGATGCATTGAGGCTCTGCTTGAGCTGACAGCACTTGGTGCACTTTAATCTTACATGTGGATAGAGGAAATGAGTTAATCTGCAGTTAAATATAGAGGTGGTGAAAGAGGCGGGAGGGGGAGGGGTTGACTCTAATCTCCCTTAGGTTGGGGTCAGTTGAGAGTAACCTCAGTATGTGGATGGTGTTACCCTGGGCAGAGTCACATCTCACCTCTCTGGGGCTGACAGTGATAGTGGAACCCTGGAAAATGTTAAAGATAGACTTTGAAAATGTTAGGCTTTGTGTTTTCTCAGATCACTGCACCTGCGTAAGCAGTAAGATAAACTATATAATTGTTAGATAGGTAAGAAATTTTCAAAAGATCTTGATATCTCTCCTAAGCTGAATGACAAGTTTTAGGACTTCCAGGGTGGAAGGGCATAACTATATCTGAGACCAAGGACAAGCATCAACTTAGCAAACAGTTGCTCAGGTTAAAAACAGGGACCCTTGTCTTCCCTTCCACGCTGCTTCTTGTTGCTTTATCAATACTGATGGTTGGTCTCACTTGTAGCTTTTCCAGCTGAAGGGTCCATGTGAGTATCGTGAAAATAAATCAGCTTGATTTATTGTCACTGGTTGTTCAATTTACCTTGGTAGATTCAGCCTTCTGTGGATTATGAAGTGCTCACTTGAACACCTCTGCTATGAGCTCTGCAGGCAGTTGTAAGCTCCAGCAGGCGGGATGGTGACAAACAGTTTTCAGTGAAACACTTTCAAAAGGTGGGTGTCAGTTTTCAGCCTTGGAGGCAGTATAGACCATGGGAAGAGCATTGTGCTAGGAAAGCTGGAGTCACAGTTTGTTCCTGGCACTGATTCTGGTGTGATCAGGTCAAATCACTCCTCATCTGTGCATCTTTTTCCCCCCTCATGTCTCTTGCCCATTTACATTCCTTGAAAAGGGACTGCCTGTTCTTATGTGGACAATGGGAAATATAATGTTTTTATCCTACTAGTCTTACAGAGCTGCTTGAATTTGTTGTTTTCTAAATGGCCTTTAGATCTCAGGATTGTTTGTTGATCTTAGTTTCCAGCTCCTAACTTTTCCATTGCAAAGCTGGTCCCACACTGATGTGTTTGATTATATTTTCATTGCCATTGTACTTGCTTTGATTTTGCAGCTCAGTGCCCAAAGCACTGTGCTGTACAAACAACATGATGAAGTCAAGCAGGGTCAGGCCCTTTTTCTTTTTACCTTGAAAACAATGTGAGACTCCTATGTTTCTTTTGCTTGGCACCTCCAGTTCTTGAACTGGAGGCCGTGTGTGTGTGTGTGCTGCCCTCCTGTTGTGTACAGGTGTGAGATCACTTGGAGAGCGTTTTCCATTGCTGCCTAAGGGGTACTGGAAGCTGTGCTGTCTGCTTGGTTGTGTGTGAGCTCAGGCTGTGAAGTGTGGAAAATTACTGCAAGAATAGCAGCATGCTGAGCTGATGTTTGTGTCTACAGTGGGTTTGTTGGGACTAGGTGTCCTCATCAGGGCTCATAAGTGTATTCTTAGATTTGTCCTTCTGGATCATGCCTGGCCACTGTCTGCAACAAGAAATTTTCTCCTGTTTCTCACATCTCCTGTTTTCTTTTGGCAGCATTCCTTCCTCCATAGGGATGTGGTTTGAGTGTGGCCTGTGTCCAACTCATTTAAGATGTGCCTGGCTGTTGATCTGAAAAAGGGAGAAGAAGCAAGAGAGCTTGACTCTGCACTACCGTAGTATTGTCAGCCAGCGTATCAGTCCTTAGCATGGAATGAAACAGCCTCCAGAAACATCTGTAAAATTGTAGACCTTATTACTTTGGTACTTTAGTCTCATCCCCATGGTGTTCTTGCTATTCCCTTCCCAGGTCATTCTGAAAAGCCTCTTATACCAGGTTTGGGTACCAGGACAGACTGAGGCAGAAGGACTAAGCCACAGTGATTTATTTGTCTTTAAACTCAAAGTGTGTCTAGAGTCAGGGAAAGCCTTAGTTATAAAAATTAAAGGGGAAAAAAAAGAAGAAGGAAGAAAGGTCTACACTCTGCAGGGAAACCTCTTTATTAGCCATGGGGTGAGATTTTGGTTTGGTTTGGTTTGTGGTTTTTTTTTTGTTTTCTCTCCATTTGCTTGATTTTCTCACCTGCTGCATTCATTCAAAGTTTCTGTGTGGAACTTGCTTTTTGTAGCTCACTGAGCAGCTCAGTTATCATTGGTGCTGGTTGCTGGCTCCTTATGCAGGCAGTATCCAAGTACCTTTTGTATTATTAGAAACTATTTCATCACACTTTGCTTCTGTGGTGGAAATCAACCTCTTAGAAATAGATAAAGCCAGCACACAGCTGACTACTAACAGAAGTAAAATTAAAACGTTGAAAACTTCTTGGTATGGTGTCCTTTCTCTCTGACACTCTCAGCTCCCTAATTTTGCTGCCATTGACAGAAAGTGAAGTACTCTCACAGCAGAGGGTATACAGTTTGTCTAAACTGGATCTTCCTGTGAGTCCTGCATAGATTTTTCAGCAAAAATAGCTTCTTATGGTCCTCCAGGAGCTAAAGGGGTACATATTTCCAAGCAAAGTTTGAGCATTTTGGTGTTACTTCTAGACTGGGGCACAGACGAGTCATAACCTTTGTATTCTCTTGTCTTGCTGAGCTCCCTGGCTATGTGCCAGGTTACAGCCTTGCTTGTAACAATTCTCAGCACCAGAGAAGTTTCTGTCCTTTGGGTTTTGTGCCATTTACTCTCTCCTCCCCCTTTCAGTCTTGCTCTTAGTCCTTGTGATAGCAGTTCTCTGCTTTGGGCAGCTTTTGGTAGCTGGGACTCTGGCCAGCTTCATCCTTTTGCCAACTCACAAGGACAAGGCAAGTTGGGAAAGCAAACAAACTGCAGTTAATGCCAGCAGGGCAGCTTCTTGTGTTGCAGGAAAACCAGGCTTGACCTTGCCACTGGAATATTGACTCTCTCTTGATGCATACTCTGGACATCTTTATAGAAAATATCTTTCCAGTACTAGCAGTAAGCCTTTCAAATGTGTCCTTTTACTGATCTTGACCCGTTGAAGATGGAGAAGCTATTAAACCATTCTCAACAGAAAACTCTAATTTGTTTCAGCTTGTGTTTTCCTAGGACTATTCTAGTTTTGTTAAAAAACTATCCTGGTTCATCTAGGCTCATTGCTTGGGATCTTCGTGGGTTTTGAAAGAAGTCTTGGGGCTTGTAAAAAAATCATATTATTGGAGCTCTGTAAGCATGGTCTGAGATGGCTCCTGTGCCAGATCCTTGATACTCCTTATGTGTGCTTTTCTCTCTGAGCATCACCTTCTGCTTTCTCTGTGTCGTGTTTCTGCCCCGTGTGCACTGAGAATATCTGACTGGTGAGGCTGCTTGTACAAGGCCCTTGGAGGTCCTGGTCTTGCATTGCTAGTTGAAAGCAATGTGACTTCATTCCCCTCAGAGACACATATGAGGATTTGTTCAGTCATCCAGCACAGGCATCAAACTTTGCTAGTTGGTCTCCTCAACCTCTTCTTGAAGTTCTTGAGTACAGAGAAGTATGAGGAAGGTAGTGTAGAAAAAAGTTGCACCACTCTCTGGAAGATCCTCTCTGTTCACTTGGTACAGCAAGAGCTCAGAATGATTGGCTGACTAGTTCAGCCTGATAAATGACATGATTAAAGATGAGGGGTGTCAATACTTACAAGTCTAACTGCAGAGGCATCTCACTACAGCAGACTGCTGTTAATGTTATTGAGTGAAACAATAAAGGTGCACAGCCATCTATCAAATCTATGTCAGATCTTACCATTTAGACTTAACGTTGGACTGGAGTTAAATAATTTCATTTAGTAAGCATCAATGCATGGAAAAAATAATTAAATTTTTCTGTGTGAATTCTGCCTCTGTGTCTGTCTAGCTGTGTATCCTAACTAAGAAATTTGTCTGAATACAACCTAATGTGTGTGTTTCTTAATATACATTTACTATCTACCCTTCCTTCTTTATTCCTGGCAGTGGTGAGTTACATTTCATAGTTGCTGTTATCCCTAGTTCCCAGCCCAGGCTTTGTATCAGACAAGCCTATTCACACATCAGGGATAGCAGCAGAGATGTGTGTTTACTTCTTCTTTTTGCATTTTGCAAACTAGTATACTAAATGAAGTGAAATCAACAGTGATTTACATTGGTAAACAGACTGTAGGTTGTAAGGAGGCATGAATATTTGTGCTATTCAGCTGTCCTTGCTGCTCGAGGGGGAATCTCTAACAGAAAGGCAGGAAAACGGATGTGGTTTCAGCCTTCCCTGGAGACAACCATAAATATTGGTTCTCATACAGAGCATGCTGGGATGTGGATCTGGGCAGACTGATGTTTATACTAACTCTGCTATGCTTCCTGCATGGTGAGCAGAGGTAATTGTTTCATCTAAAAGTAGCATTATTTCTATGAATGAATTATTGCTTTGGTACAGCCCTCTCTGTGAATGTGTTAGATAGCAGGATTAATGGCACTAATAAGAATTTTCTTTCTCTTTGGCTTTTGTAGGTATGAGCTGTTATGTAGCAGTTGCATGTGAGGAGAAGGCAGAATACAAGTCGTCGTCAGAAGATCCTGTCCTAAGCTGGGCCTGAAAGTTCATCCAGCTGGCTGGTGTGAGTAGCCTGAAAGGGAGGGGAAGGAGTGCATTACTGGGAGACTTCATCCTGACTTCAGGCACAAAAATCACAGCTGCCTCTATCACTTGTAGTGAAGGAGTTTTCATCCTAGCAGCAGCCTACCTGGGTTGTGCAGCAGAAAGCTGTATGGTGGCCAGAGTGCCACTGTATTACAGAGGCTTTTTTTGGTATGTGAGCCAGTCAAAAGCTCCAGTTCTTGAAGTACAATCTCCAAATGCTAGTTTTGTGATGATTTATGGATGTATTAGATAAAACGTACTCCCAGAAAGAATTAAATTCACCTTTGCCACCATCACATGTGTTCCTATTTGTGTTTGTGCCATCTGCATTTGTTACATCTCCCTTGTTTATTATCTGCATTTGTGACGTCCTTTTCTGTTGATTTTGATGCTAGTGCTAGTAAATATTCTGTGCCTTATTCCAGGTCAGAAACAGATGGAGGTGGTAGGATTTTGGAATTTCCCTTTAGGATGACTGTTCTAGGGAGCCTGCTTGTGATCAGGAGGGCAAAGGTCAAAACACAATTACCAAAGACTGAATTTCTGGCTTTACAGAAATTACACATAAAATTCATTTTGGCTACTTCTTTCTTTACCTGGTGTTTGTCTCTATGCCAGGGTCATGGCCATACTGGCACTGATTCTCAAGGGTTGCTTGTGTCTATTTCCTCTGGGGATACACAACCCTTCCAGTGAGGCTGCATCAGCCTCTTACATGCTGAACATGCAGAGGCTGTTGTTAGCTGATGGTGCTGTCTTTTATGAATTACTTTTCTCTAAGGAATTAAAGTTCAAGCTGTTGGAGAGGAAGCTGGAGAAACTTTTGGGATGTATGAAGCCAAATTTTATGTCATTCTCCTACTACTGCCTTCTGAGCAAAATCACATTGATCCCACTGTTGAACTGGCACAATGGGCTGTTTTACACCCGGCCTGAATGTGAGCCTGTACTAAAAGGGATGGAAGCTCCCCCCCTCAGTTTTACTGCTTTAGAGGAAAGAGAATGTGATGTTTGGTTCTCTTCCAGGCAGAAATACGCAGTCAGGCATTGATCTGGAAAAAGAGCATCTCCAAGAAGCCTTGATTCTCAGAGACATGCCTGGCAGTCACTGTGCCTCATGCTTGTGCTATGGCTGACCTGTGTCATCAGCCAAGTGATGACATCTGCATCTCTTTCTTCCCCTATTTGTGGTGCCTGCTTAGTCCTACTGGCTGTCATGTGGCATCAAGGCATAGCACATCTGTTCTTCAAGGAGTTCATAGTATTGAGTACCAGGGCCTGAATACCCATATGGGAGTTTGAAGGAGAACAACTTACTCTTTAGCCCCTATTCCAGCTTAGGTGGAGCCCTAAATGGCCCTTTTTACATTACCTTTTTTATATGAGAGAAAGATGCGTGCTACATCAATGCAGTATGCATTGATCTGCAGTGCAAAACAGTTCCAGGCCTGTCAAGATGGACCAAAGGCATGGAAAGGGAAGGAAAATATCTAGCCAGTGCACCAGGAAAGAAAGTTAATCTGTAGAAGCACAGTGGATATATATTGACTGAATCTTTTGTTGTCAAAGGGTGGAAAATGATACAGTCGGTCCAAGGCTCACTAACTGAGAAAAAGTGCCCTTAGTGTACACACAGAACTGTTGGAGAGCTGGTAAAAAGTTAAAGATATACTGATGGCCAGATTTCCCAGAGCCTGCTGGTCAATAACTGCTGCCTTATTCAGTTCTGGAGTTTGTTGCTTTGGGTGAATGCTTAAGGTTATTCAGACAAGCTGCTGTAAGGTGTAACAAGTCTTCTTTCACAACTTTCCCTTGGGTCAGAGCAGAATGTCTTCTAGAGGAAGGTGTTGCCCAGAATGTACTTTTGGTTTCAGCTGGTTGATCATACCACCTCTGCACTGGCTCTGCCCATCAGAGACTGTAATAGAGGTTTAAATGATGCAGCACTGTGCCAGAAACCAGGGCAGCAACAGTGAGAGTGAATTTAAAGAAATCAGGAAAATGGAGTTTTCATTTTTTCCATTGAATTTTTGGGAACAGATGGAGCGTTGATGAGGCAGAGATTCTGGAAGGGACTGTGTGTTTCAAACATTTTCCTTAATGTCTTCCCAATCTGCTCATACATTCATAGCTCCTGCCTCTTTGGCACAGGGCAGTTAGTTTAGGATGTGAAAATTTAAACATCCCTGGGCTTCCAGAGGTGGATGTTCCCCAAGGCCTGTTTAGCTGTGTTTTTTGGGCTATGGAACTTTTGATGCAAAGGGCCGTGGGAGCAGCTCATGGCCTGATGGGCAATGTCTTTGTTTACTTCATTCCAAGTCACTGAAGTGAAGGATCTGGTCTTTCTGGACAGAGACAATGACCCTGGAGCATCTTAACTGAGCACTGTACTGATCCTATTAGGATCAGTCCTGCCTCTTCTAAATGGCCAATGTGTTTTCTTTGGGGTTTTGTGTTTCGTTTTTTTTTCCTTAAATCTGGTTAGAGGCCAAGAAGAATCTAATCAAAGCCCAGCAGTGCACTGAGCAGCAGTCATTACCATTATTTAGTCATCCAGTTGCTGTTTCTTTGCTGTTACAAGAAATGTTTGTGTTGTTGGGAGCAGGGATGAGGGAAGATCAGCTTTTCTCTTCTTCCCCTTGGAGAGGTTTAAGCACTTTTCCTCTCAATGCACGTTTACCAAAGTGTTGTTCTTTGAAGACAGATTTAAAGTATGGCCTTCAAAACTCTGTGACAGCCACAGTTTATGGGAGAGGAATCAAAAAATGATTTAAACCATCATTAATTCCTGAAGGAAATGACTTTCGGCTGTGAACTGTGAAATATGATTACTCTCTCATTAGCTTTCATAGTTATGAATGTAACTGGCCAGCTGGCCGAGTTAGAATCTACATTTCTCCTCAGCCTGGCTTTTTGGGCAGGATTTTTGCTTATTAATGACACACAGAGCAAATACGTTTGACAGAACTGCTGGGACTTCATTTCCGTGAATGCCCAGGCTTGTCTGCTGGAAGACATGTTGCTACTTTTGGCTCTGTAGTTCTGTTCCTGGAGAACAGAAAATCAGCTGTGGGTAGCCTGATTTGATATGCATTTGTCTTTAGCACTTAGGGTGCAGGAAAAAGCATTGCAAGAAAATACTGAGATGGAGAGAGAGCACAGTTTAAATTTTCTTTTCTGCTTCTACAAGTTCTCTTCTTTACCACACTGCTGTGTCTCCTTTTTTACTCTCAGCAACTTAACAAATCACTGTCGTTGGAAGAGCCAGTTAACTCAGGTGCTGGCACAGAGATTTTGCTAGTGTCTGAGTATTTGGGGTCTAAAGAAAAATGAGAGAATTTTGCAAAATTCAGCTTCTTTCTGTGTCGTATAGGAGGTGATTTTTGACCTGACACTACCTTGAGGTTCATTTAAGCTCTACAGCACAAAGGTTAAGAGCAGTGGTGAACAGCTGGTGCCTTTACAGAAGCTTTTAATATTGATTGGGGTGTATTCTTGTTGCCTTCACAGTCAGCAGTGCCTTTCATTGACTGAGGTGCTGGTTGGATCAGTAAGCACAGCTCTGGCCTAAAGCAAACTTAGGAAGTGCCTTTGTCCTTTTGTAGTAGAGGAACACAAGCCTTGGGTTGTCCTGCCACAAGCAATCCAGTGATCATTGAGTCCCTTGTATCCCACACCCCAGTTTGGCACATATGCCGCAAATCCCAGCGTGCAAGTTTTGCTTCCCTTTTGTCTGTGTGTATGTGGCAGCAGAGGGTACAAAGGGCTGGAGATGCTTATGTGTAGGTGAGGATGCAGGCTTTTTCAGTCTCATTCTGTAACTGCCATTTATTTCCTAGGACTTTCCTTAGAGTCAACATAGCTGAGCCCCAAGTTTTTCCCTTATAGTGTTGCAGTCAGCACATCCTGAATTCCACAAAATTGCTTGGACCAGGGTCAGCAGATATTCTAGGAAGAGGAGCAAGGTTATACTTTCTTTTATGCATGGGAGTTAAAATAGGTCATCAGATCAGTAGGAGCTGGAAAAAATGTTCTACTCAGGTGCCTGCTAAACAGCTCATCACTCCAAGCTTGTGCTGGTGTAAGAGATTCTGTCCACCTCCTGTGGAGTTTGGCAGTCAGACGACAACAGCAGCAGGTGCCATGCCTCTCACTGAGGTTTCCCTTAAGATGCTTCAGATCCTGAGTGCAGGTAAACTGGGATCCTACCAGGTGGTATTTCATTCTCTTTTAAATGGGGCATCACTGATCTCCAGTATGGCCCTAATTTTCAACAGCCAAAAGGGACACTAGGACAGTTCTTCAATCTTCAGCAAGGAAGACAAATTTTGCATTTGTTTTTCTCAGCCATTTGAGAAAAATTTTTAGCACTTTGTTTTGTATTATCTGCTGGTCTCTCTCTATGCTTAGCAGGTTATGTGCTTTCACTGGATTAGTACATACCTTGTTGTTACAAGGACCTCTTGTTGTCCCTTAACTTCTGTCCTGAAGACTTGCTCCTACTGATAGATTAAGTTCCTGTCTAGGGTTCTTAAAAGACCTGTATACATCTTTCTAAGGAATTTTTCTCAGTCTCTGATAACAGTCTGAACCCCTCATGCCATGCAGACTCAGCTGGAAGTGCTGCCTGAGTCCTTGTGCAGTTGGAAGGAGCAGCCTGGCAGATTGTAGGGGCTGCTGATGACAGTATTTCATTCTGCAGTGATGCTGCTTCCCTTGCATTTCAGCTGGGCAGGACTGAGCTGCAGAATTCAGGCTCAGGTCAAGGGGGTCCATTTGTTGGGAGCTTTGAGGCAAGGTGGGGCTCATCTTTTGTAGCAGGGAGGGTGCTGTCATACTATCCTAACCACAACCTGGGTGGCTGTTTTGTAACTAAGGAGGGCAAGGATGTTGGGTGAATGAGTTTGTGCTCATTGACAGTACTGGGTGGAACTCTGGCAGCAACGTGTTATTTTGGCTGAATTTTGTTTTGCAATT